CGGCCGCCGCCACCAGCATCGTGCCGCAGCGGGGGCTGCCGAGACTAAGGCGGCTGCAGTCCGGCCCAGCGCGGGGTGCGTCGGAAGCCGCGGGGCACGCCGGGAGTTGTGAACTACGACTCCCAGCAGCACGCGCGCCGCCCGTTAAAAGGCCCGCAGCCGGCAGGGGGCGGTGGAAGCAGCCCGGCGGCGGGTCGGCGGGCTGGGGCGGCTGGTGTATTCACGCTCCCCGTCCCGGGCCCTGCCGCCGTCGTCGTCGCCAGCGTTTTCACGGCACTTGTCGCTCTAACGTGTTCGCTCGCCACCTCCGCACTGCTCCGGACCGGGGCCCGCCCTTTGCTCTTTCCTGATCTCCTTTCGAACCTCTGAGCTCTTTCCTGAGAGGGTAAAAGTAAATGAAAAGCTGTAGCTGCGCCGCCCGGGAATCGAACCCGGGTCGCAAGAATGGGAATCTTGCATGATACCACTACACCAGCAGCGCCGTTGGGGGGGGTAGGCCACTGTCAGGCTGAGGTGGTTGTGACGCCATGCGGGGACTGGGTGAGGGCGAGCGCCCGGCGCTGGAGGGGAGGAGCGGGAGGAGGGACGCGGGGTGGAGGACGGTCTCGAGTGAAGCCTGCGCCGCCTGAACCGCGCAACCCAGGGCATTCGGTAGCCTGAGGAGCTCCAGCACTGCTCCTCGGGGGCGGGGCCTGGCGGGCTGCGGTAGGCGGGGCCCTGGGCAGGGACCTGGCCCTTGGGCTCGGGACACGGTGCTTCTCCGTGACGCCGCTGTGGCCACAGCCAGCTCTGCGTGCGCGGACAGCGTGAGGAGTCGGTGACCCCTGAGTTAAAGTGGAGGCCGCGCTCTGTGTGTGCCCGAGGGTTCAGCGCTGGTTGTCGGCTTGGGGTCCTTGTCTCCGAGCAGGCCCTGTTAGTTAGCCCCTTCGCTGGGCAGTTTTTCACGGGTGAGAACCCCCATAGCCGACGTCCTTCTGGCCATCATTTTAGCCTGGCATTGCGCTGAGGGGGTACCAGGGTCGGGCATCAGTCGGGATGGCCGGGGTGCGAAGTGGTTAGACCAGGGGGGCCAGCCACGCGGCTGACGGACGGGAGGGTTGGCCAGTCTTGACAGGCCACCGGGAGGACAGCCGGGAGGACAGCCGGGGGGGGGGGGGGTCAAGGGAGCCCAGGAATTGACCTCCTCCTCCGGGCGACCCCTCCACGCGGATGTCGATGTGCGGTGCTCACAGTGACAGTCTTGCAGCAGCCTTTCCTGTTTCAAAGCCCCGAGCTTTCTTTTTTCCTTTTTTTAAAAAAAATAAGATATAAATTTATTAAAAGGGCACATTTATGAAGAATAATTACCAGGGGTGCAGGAAAAAAGGTCAATACAAGTCTGTTAGGAATATAATCTACACAGGCATTTGAGTGTGCATACCTGAAGGTTGAGATCTTTACCTACAGCTCAATTCTAGTTCAGCCTACACCACCGGTCTAATACAAGAATGGTGTGTATTGGGCCAGCCCGGTGGCGCACTGCTACAGTGCCCCGCTTGGGAGCATGGCTGCGCTCCCGCCGAGGGTTCGGATCCCACATACAGACCGGTTCCCGCTCACTGGCTGAGCGAGATGTGGGAGCAACACCGAGGGTTGCGATCCCGTTGCCGGTCCCGGTCCGGTACGGGCGCGACACTGAGGGTTGCGATCCGTTGCTGGACACGAAAAAAAAGACAAAAAGGAAAAAAAAAAGAATGGTGTGTATTTGCTGTTGAAAAAAAAACCTGCCCCGTCCTTCAGAATCTGAGCCCTTCCAAATGTCAGTGGCTGAGCCTCTTCCCAGCCTCGACACATTTCCGCTGTTCTCTTTGGTGTCCAGTGGTAAGCACTGGAATATTTACTGGAATAACATGGGGGGTTAAGAGTTAGGAATACTTGATAACACCAAGGTCAAGGCTTTGGATCCCTACTGGCCAGCTGTTGCCCAAATCAGTCTCAGTCAGAAGGGCCCCAATATAATTCCCTCTAAGGAAGTCAGGACTCCCTTTACACCCCAACTTTCTCTCCTGTATGGGCGTGGGCAGACTAGGGCTCGCTAGTACCCAGGATCCCGCCGTTTCTCTCCCTCTCTCAATTCTCCCTCCAGAATTTTTTGAAATGAAAGTTAAGGAATTGGCTCACACATATTACAGGGGCTAGCAGCCTGAAATCCAGGAAATCCAGTTGATGCTGCAGAGTCCAAAGATCCGCAGGGTGGCTGCAGGCTGTCTTGATGCAGGATGGCTGGTGAATTGAAACCAGTCCCAGGGTGCCCAAGCTTCCTGTCCTGCCTCACCTTTTGCCTCTTCTCCTCCTGGTTGTTGGCCAAGCATGCTACATGTGCTGCAGTCAGGACAGGCGAGCATCCCTCTCTGACCCCCACCTCAAGGGCTGCTAAAAAAGGAGGACCTGTGATGACCAGGGCCACCTGAGGCCAGGTGCCTCTCACCAAGTTGATAGCTGCCTGCCACACTCATCACTCGGGGATGGCAGCTGGTGGGCCAACACCTGCCACCAGCACTCACTGAGCTCCGAGTCTGGGAGAGAAGCCGCTGGACACAGCTGAGAGGGTGAGCACACATCTTCTGGAAAATCATGGATGTGTCATACCCTGGTAGGGTCCAGCAGGGTCCCACAGACCCTGATGCTCCCTGGGGCCTCCCCCTGGGTAGCTGGGGTTGAGGTGTGGAGGTGTGGGTTATTGCTGGGGCCAGAAGTGTCCTCTCCTGAGGCTGAATCTGGCTCCCAGGTGCTCTCTTGAGGGGCTTCTCCTATACCAATGGAAGTACTGGGCACAGGCTACTTCCCAAGTGAGTGTTCAACATTATAAAATCACCAGTGCCCTGAGAGGCACGTGCCCTATATTGTGTGCTGTGAAAGGACCCAGTGCCCACACGGCAGCAGCGCCTGGTCTTGGCCCCCGTGCCCACTTGCTCCCTGGATGCAACTCCTGGGAGGGATGGGCAGCCCCCGCTGCACTTCCACTTGCCCTGCTGCCTCGGGAGTCTGGCCCATAGGAGGGGTCTGTGCCTCTGCTCAGTCACCCACAACTGAGCCCCACCCATTGCCCTTCCTCACACTCCCAGAGGGCTGGCCACAGGGCAGGGTCCAGCTTCCCTCCCGGCCTCCAGTCCCATGTGCCCACCATTCATTGGACCCCAGCCCCAGCAGGGATCCGATGTCCCGAAGCTTCCTTCCCAAGCCCTCTGCAGTGCCCCCCCCCATTCCCTTTCACCACCACCGCTTTTTTTGGTGGCCTAGTTTCCTGTGGCTGCTTTAACAAACTATCCCAAAACTTGGTGGCTTAAAACAACAGATTTTTCTTGCAGTTCTGGAGATCAGAAGTCCAAAATAAAGGTGTCAGCTCCCTCCAAAGCCCTACAGGAGGATCCTTCCTTGTCTCTTGCAGCGCCTGGTAGCTCCAAGTGATGCTAGGCTTGTGACCACATCACCCCAATGTCTACTCTGTTTTCACATAGCCTCCTCCTCTGTGTGTCTGTGTCCAACTCTCCGCCTCCTTTCTCTTGTATGGGCACCAGTCATCGGATTTAGGGCCCACCCTAATCCAGGATGATTTCATCTCTAAATCCTTGCCTTAATTATATTTGCAAAGACTCTTATTCAGAGTAAGGTCAAAATTTGAGGTTCCAGGTGGACATATGTTCTGAGTACCACCATTTGACCCACGCTACTTGGATTTGGGAACAGGCCAAGCAATCCCTAGGAAACACGGTAGTAGATGCTGGGGTACCCAGCCAGATCCCTTTCCTGGGGGCTACTGCCACCCCTCCATTGGGAGAAGCCAACCCCTGAGCCTCACGGAAGCCCATCCTCAAGTCGGGGTTGCTCAGGGAATGGGTTTTGGATCAGGAAAATAGATTGAAGATGACAGAAAACTTGAACTTTTCACCTTTTATGTAAAATTTTAGTATTACATTTAGAGGCTTTTCCTTTTTTTTTTTTTTTTTAAAAGATGACGGGTAAGGGGATCTTAACCCTTGACTTGGTGTTGTCAGCACCACGCTCACCCAGTGAGCTAACCGGCCATCCCTATATGGGATCCGAACACGTGGCCTTGGTGTTATCAGCACCACACTCTCCCAAGTGAGCCACGGGCCGGCCCCTAGAGGCTTTTTCAAGAGAAAAAAAAAAAAGTACTTTTAATCAGTATGAAAAGGCCTTTTCTTACTCTGCATGCTAGGTGAGGTTCCTCCCATCCAGCTGCCCAACTCCAGGACAGGTCCCCCCTCTCTGACAACAGGGAATGATGCTGGCTGCAAAATGCTGCCTCTGCAGGGGATGTGCAGGCAGAGAGAGGCAGAGAGACAGTGTTGATCCAGGTCAAGGCTAGCAGGACTGGTGCGCAGAAGCTCGAGCTCGCCAGGAGCCACTGCCCTATGCCAGGCTGGCCAGGGTTCCTGCCCAACTGGGAGAACCAGCCCCAGGCCCCACCTTCCATGGAGACCCTGCAGCAGAGCCGAGGTCATGCAGCAGGGGGCCCAGCTGGACGCTGGCCCTGGTGGGCCCTCCCCAAGTCCTGTCCTCAGGCCAGGTGTGCTCAGCTGGGTCCTGGGAGCAGTGAAGCTACCTGCCCCCAACCTGTCCTTCCACCTCCCTTGGTGCCCCCTGCTCCCCGCTGCCTTGGGGACCAGTGGACTTTCACCCCCACACCTGCCCCAGCTCGTCCTGCCCCCTCCCCTTTGCTTGTCAGGACAATTCTTCGCCCACTGCTCCTGCATGGGAGCCCTTCTGAGAGCTTATGGCCCAACCTTTGACCTTAGGCACGGCCTCTCTGGGCAAGTGCATCTTGTCTTTGCTGGCCTGCCTGGGCACCCCTCTTTGTGGGGGGCCCCTGCCCTCAGAGAGCTCATGACAGCTAGGGGGTACACATCCTTACACCGGCGGCCTTGCTCCCCTGCACGGCCTTTCTAACTCAGCAGCCCCTTCCTTCCCAGGCTCTTGGTGTGGATGTCCCTCCCCTGCAACATGCACCCTCCAGCCGCAGGCCCCCCAGCACCTGTCCTGCGCCTCCTTACTGCCTGTGAGTGATTGAGCAGCATGCTCAAGGCCACTGGGAGCCAGGGCAGGCTGCACAGACGACTTGGGACCAGGCTGGCCTTGATGGACAGGAGCTCTGGTGCTGGTGAGGGGAGAGATGGGCAATGCAGAGGTGGAAAGGGAGGGGTCAGCTTGGCTAGTGAGGGGTCCTTCCTAGGGGGATGTGCTCAGGCTTGGACTCCCAGGATGTGGGCTTGTCTAGGGGGCTGGGCAGCCTCTCCCCACACTGCTCACCAGCCCCCCTGCCCTCCCAGGGTCACAGGCCTTGGTCTTTCCCACAGGCCCAACCCAGCCCTGAAGAGGAGGTAGCTGGGGAGGGGAGGCCTTTGTCCTTCCGCCTTGCTTAGGATAGGATGCAGAGCCAAGGGGTGTGGGGGCCACATGAGAGGCAGGACAGCCCAGCCACCCCTTGGACAGAAGCTTCCCCAAGGGTCTCCAAGCAAGTATTCATGCTGGTCACTCCACCTCCATCCCTTCCATGTTGTGCATCTCTTGCTTGTCGTCTGGAGATTTAGAAAGAAAGAGCTGCTTCCACCCCTGCCCTGAAGTGCTACTGCCCCTCTTGTCCCAGCTGCAGCAGCCTCAAACCCCCACTCAGAGAATTTGTGGACATTGGACATCCCCAGACCCTGGTCCCTGCACAGACTGAGCCTCCTCTTTGAGGAGGGAGGAGGCTTTGTTTGTGGGAGGAGTACAGGACCCCTGAGGGCTTCGGGGTGGGTACAGGGATCTGAATTCTTGACCCTGCTGTTATCAACAGGGTAGATTTCAAGACCCATCACCAAGTCTCAGCTCAGCATTTGTCTCCTTGGGTGGGGGAAACATTAGGGCTTGAACCCAACACTATGGAGAATGAGAGCAGGCCTGGGCCATGCCCACAGAGCCCTCAGGCTCAACCCACTAGTGCTAGCCCAGGTGTGGTGGACAGCCCTGAGCAGAGGACTCCCTCAGACCAGGTTTCTGAGCAGCCCTAGAGAGGGGAGGAACAGGCACTCTAATCCTCACAAAGGAACCCTGAGGCAGAGATTAGTGGGTGCTAGGTGCCCCAGGTGTCCTGGCTCTGGAGCCTCCAGGCTCTCTGGAAGTCACCCATGATGATCCTGAGCTACCAACACTGCAGGGGGTATTGGACAGACCCCATGGCCTGGGAGTTGGTGGGGGTAGCTGTTCTCTCTCCTGCAGGACGATTTAGCCAAGCCTGGCCTGCCTCGCGTCCTCTCTCCCCAGGGCCCTGCCCCCACGCTGCCCCTGGATTGGAGCTGGTGGTGCACCCTGCCATGGGGCAGAGTGCAGCCAGTGCTCTGGTCCCCAGGGGTGGAAGGAAGCTTCCCAGGGTATCATGTCTCTCCCCAAATCCAGGCAGACCACCCTGCTTTTCTCTTCTTAGACCCCTTCAGTTCGAAGACCCAAGTCGCACTGGCCAGGGCTCCTCCAGGCGCCTTGGTTGAGGCTCCCAAATATGAGTGGCCACACCCTTGTTTCCAGTGTCTGCACCGAGCACCCCTCAGCTTAGAATACACCCCCAGCACAGCGACCCCCAGCTCAGACGCCCCCAGCACAGAACTCTCCAGTTCAGAGACCCCCCCCCC